CTGTTACCTTCTAAGAGGACAAACAGACCATGAACGTTTCCACTCTGCCACTCTCACTCAGGGCCACGCGGGAATCGAATATTCCTCACATTCAGTTTCTGAAGAATCTTGTGGGTGGGCTGGTTTCTCCATTCAGTAATGGTGACGTCTGGCTGCTGTTCCAGTTCAGGAGCACTCGAGGCGCTGCTTTGTCTTTTGACTTTTGAATGTTTGGGAAGTTCTAGCTCCTCAAAACTCTTAAATTCTGGAAGTCTGGAAATTAAAAAAAAGAGAAAGGTTTTCAGACCTCTAATTCTACCTCAAAGACCGCAATAATTAGATAACGCAGAGGTACTCACTCTTCTGTGTCACAGATTCGCAGAAAGTCGAGTTGTTCTACTACAGCTCCAGATATTAGTGTCTGAAACACAATTAAGAAAAGATGCACAACTCTTAAATTTAGCAAGCCGTATTATGATCTGTGAACACACTTCTGTAAGTACGCAGTACTTAAAAAAAAAAAAGTTGACTTAAAAAACATATACGACCTTAAGTAATTTCCTAAATGAGCATTCTACAATCTGGTTTTCACATACAACCAAACCAAACCAAACCAAATCGAACCGGTTATCTTCAAGTCAATTCCGACTCATAGCAAACCCCGGAGGACAAGGTAAAACGGCCCCATAGGGTTTCCAAGGCTGTATATTTTTACTGAAGCAGACTGCCACATCTTTCTTCCATGGAACAACTGGTGGGTTTGAACCAGTGACCTTTCAGTTAGCAGCTGAGTGCTTAACCACTGCACCACTGGGGCTCCTTCACACACACAACAAAACCCCCTAAAACAGAACTACAAGTTCATGAGTCATAATAAAAGGGGAGTACTAGACATGGGATGAACTGTATTTTCTTTCTGTTTTTAGAACTGTGGGCATTTATCTTCAGACTAGAAACCCTGGTGGTGCAGTGGTTAAGAGCTACGGCTGCTAACCCAAAGGTCGGCAGTTGGAATCCACCACGCGCTCCTTGGAAACTCTATGGGGGCAGTTCTACTCTGTCCTATCGGGTTGCTATGAGTCAGAATCAACTCGACGGCAAGGGGTTTGGTTTTTTGTTTTTTTTTTTTAATCTTTAGGCTGGAATTAAAATAATTCAGAGTAGTACCTGTTAAAATGTTAAAAAATATTATTTTGAAATTAAAAGAAAAGAAAAATACCATGAAATACTTACATTGTTTTTGGGAAGAGGCAATGTGAAATTGCACCCTGGATCCCCCTACTGTAATATATTTCAGGGCTATCCAATGATGGGATATTGCCAAGGTTTCATTCTTCAGGATCATGAAAGTGTTCATCATCCAGCCTGGTGCTTCGCTGCGTTCTGGCAACCCGTATTTGGTCATGTTAGTTTCTATTAGTTGCCGATCATAGCTTTAGGAAACTAAATGAGGCCAAATTCAAACACAGTGTCTGTCTGTCAGTGATTCATGGAGAATAGTACAAAGAAATGGTAACCTACAGTGATTTTCAGCATTATGTGTCACTTCTAATTATCTGATGAGCCGTCAGAGAAAACTGAGAAATGTACTGCCTAAAAATCAAGCCATGAATTATTATTTAAAAAACAAGGCAACCGTTCGATCAAAACTGGGTTGTATGTATTATGTCCTCCATCGCTCACTGCTCGTTACGGACATGAAGCGATGTGGCATACAGGAACACTGCGCTGGTTGGCTAACTACCCAGAGCTGCGCTGCCTTCTTCTCTGGCGGAAACTCACAGACAAAGAGCATCATCAACAGATAACACCGCAGATGGCAGGATAAGCATAAGACCAGAACACAGAGGAAAGGCCCCGTGCAGAGTCTGTGTGAGGGAGGCCAAATGTGTACCTGATCTGCACGTTTTTATACGGCCCAGCCACAGGCAGGTCACTCTTGGACGTGAGCTCCCTGAGGGCAGGGTATGTGTCTTGGACAGTGAGCGACGCGTCCAAGATGCAGGCTCACATCTACACATCTTACTCTTCAGTGAATCTGTCAGACAGACACTTACTGAGCTCGCACCACGTGCCAGCACCACACTAGGAACTGAGGGGACATTGCTGCTGTTAGCAGCCATCCAGTCGGCCCCTGACTCTTGGAGACCTCCCGCACCACGAAATGAGATGCTGCCCAGTCCTGCCTCCCTGCACCATGCTCGGTTGTGGATCACACCATTGTGATCCACAGGTACAAAAACTGTAAAATATATAAAAGCCTTGCCTTCTTGAAACTGACTTTACAGGTATGTGCGTGTAGGCTGTGGGGGGTGGTGGTGGGTAGATCATAAGCAAATTAAAAAATAAATATATATAAAATGTTAGATGGGGAGTGCAGGAATGGGGGAGAAGGAGGAGGCAAGTTTGCTGTTTTAGACAGTGTGATCAGGAAAAGCTTCTCTAATAACGACATGGGAGCAGACCCTGCAGGAAGGATTGTAGTCAATGATATGGATCTGACAAAGAGTGTGCAGGACTCAGGGAACAGCAAGTGCAAAGGTCCTGAGACAGGCGCATGCTTGGTGTGTTTTAGGAGCAGAAAGGAGGCCGGTGTGGTTAGCATGGAGCAGACAGGGGGAGAGTGGCTGGAAATGAGCCCAGACCATGGAGAGCCACATGAACCATTGGAGGACTTTGGCTTTCACTCTGTGTGAGAGAGGAAGTCACTGGTGGCTTATGATACGTGAGATAACCTGAGTGCCTTATGACTGAGTAGAAGGCGGCTAACCATATTATGGCAGGCAGGAGTTTAAGGAACTATTCCTAAAATCCAGGTAAGAGATGATGGTAGTGTGGACCCGGATTGTAGTGGTGAAGGTGATGGGAAGTGGGGAGATTCTGGCTATAATCTGAAGGTAGACACCACAGGATTTGATAACAGATTGTAATGTGGCGTGTGAGAGAGTGGGGAGTCAAGAATTACTCAGTTCTCAAAGCTGACAGCTAATACTGAAAACATGAAAAATAATTTTGATTTAATATTTCCCATTTTTATTAGCCTACTCACCCTTATAATTCATCCCATAAAGTAAATATTTAGTCTGTTAATGGGCAAATTCTGAATTCCATTAATAGTCTCTAGAGCTTTTGTCAACCCCCCCCCCAAAAAAGTTGGTTGCCAAGGCTTCTAAATTAGCTTTATAAAAAACAGTATATTTATGAATAATTTGCTAGGTATTAATACCTGAGTTCTGATGATAATTAAATAACTTAATATTGTCATATATGTGTTAAATGCAATGGGATATTCAAAAGGTACCCCACCTCTAAGATGATTATATCCTGTCACTCCCACTTGACCTAAGAATACGCTCCTTCCTGCCACTCTCCATCCCACTTTGACTTTGTTCATTGTTTGGTCCCCTCACTAGAATTTAAGTCCCATGAGATCAGGGACCTTGTGTATCTTAGTAACCACTATATCCCCAGTGCCTAGAGAAGGAGCTCAAAAATGCTTGTTGAATCAATGGACAAATATTTACATATATCCTACAGAGAGAATAGTGGTGAGCAGAGTACTCTGGGAATGCAGAAATGAGTGAAGCTTGGCCTGAAAGCACTTATAGTTCACAGAGAAAAGCATTAACAAGCAATCAGCTGCCCAGAAAATGAAATAAGAGCTAAAGCAGAGGTTCAAGTAAAATGCCACAGAAGCACTCTGGAAGGAGAAATTAAATTCCAGTCCTGGAGGCTTCACCAAAGAAATCACACTGGAGCTAAGGCATAAAATTAAAGAATGAGAAGAAAGGCCTAGCAACCTACTTTCAAAAGGTCACAGCCATTGAAAACAAAACTCTATGGAGCACAGCTCTACTCTGACATACATGGGGTCACCATAAGTCGGAACTGACTTGGTGGTAACTGGCTTGGTTATTTTGGTTAGACTGAAGGAAAAAGACAAGAACAAGGCCACTCTAGAACAGAGTGACATCATGAGGGGAAAAAGAAAACAAGAAACTCCACTTAAATACAGAGATACTTGGGAAGTAGAAAACACGTCTGGGAATGAACTGCATGGAGAGATACCCTGGTCCATGAAGCTGGGAGGGGATGGTGAGGCCCGGTGCTGAGAGAGACTGAGGGTCATGGGCTAAGAAAACATGAAAGAGCTTGAAATAAAATCCAAGGGGCACCTATGGCTGCCATATTCAGTTACTACATTAAAGAGAGGACAAAAGTAAAAACACCAATGTTAAGCCCCCATTTACATAAAAAAAAAAAATATATAGCACTCTTGGAATCATGAAAAATGAAACTACTGACTCCTCTCTCTTCTAACTTTTGAGGCACATCTAATAATGGAAAAATGAGATGGGCAGTGAAGCGGACATTAACCTCAGCTGTTGACAAGGACAGTGATGAAGGTCCTGGGGCTAAGGTTTAAAAGGCACTGAACCAGGATGTGAAGCCATGAGTTCCAGTCCCTTCTCGGCAATAGCTAGTCCTGGGACTGTAACACTCACATTCCCACCAGCGGCTCCAGGTTCCCTGTTTGTGAGAGCAGAGGATTAGACACAATTATCTCCACATCCTGTCCAATTTGAGTGCGTGTGCATAAGGAGGTACGAGTGAAGAGTTTCCCAATTTCACAGATGATGAAACAGAAAAAGGATCTCTTTCTAACTTTAAAACTCTGTGCAGTGCCTGACAGTGGGGGGGGACGGGGAGGGGGGGACTAAAGCAAATGAGAAATCTCTAATTTATTGCCTTGAGAGCAATGTCATCACCTTTTGGGTTGCTTTTATAATTTGTCTATGATTCCTCAAACGAAACGGAAACTTTGCAAAACGTGGCAGAATATCAAACTTTAAAGCAAAGTAAAATTATTTTTAGACTCATATTCAGTACTGAAATAAATAAAAATTTGTCAATATCTGAAGGCTGAAACTAACAGTCTATCATTATGAAACAGAAATGGAAGCCTGAAAGTATTCTGACTTCTTTTTAAAATTATAATGAAATTTTTTATGGCTTTACTTCTTACATTAAATGATTTAATTTATCTGAAATATGTTTTGGTGTGTGATATAAGGTAAAGCTCAACTTCATTAATTTTTCCAAAACTATGCTGAATAACCTACATATTACCATTAGTTCATTAAGCTTCCTTGATCAAATATTATTTTTACTTCTTATACGTATAGCTGAGTCTTTTTCTGAGTTACATATACGTTGCCATCAATTATACAAAACAAGTACCACAGTTTCACTGAGTTTGTAATTTCAGTGATTGTATTTTTAATTTCTCTTTTATTCTTTTTTATAGTTTCAAAGTCTGTGACAAAATTATCCATCTTGTCATCTAATTTCTTAAACATATTGAGCCCAGTTATTTTAAGTAGACGACCATTCGATCCAGATAATAGACCCCTGGATCAAATGGGGGTCTATTTCTATTGTCTGTATTTCCCTTGGTTCTTAGTTGTTGGGTTTTCTCTCTTTGTATGTCTAGTGACTTTTGAATGAAAGACAGACTTTGTACACAAATCATTGTGGAAACACTCTGAGGTTGTGGATGGTATTATTTTCTACTCTTCGTGGAGGCTGAACTATTTCTGGTTTGCTTTTACTCCTAAAATATAGCCTTTCAAGAGGGTCATCTGAAAGCCTGGGCTATTTATCAGAATTCCTCCTCCTTGGCCAGCCCTGAACTCCAATTTTTGTCCCCTCAGCCATACGAGACTGTCAAAACCTCAGTTCAGATACCCACTGAAATTATGATTGTGATTGTAATAAACCAATGTATTAATTTATGAGGAACTAACATCTTTATAATATTCAGTCTTTTATCCAAGAATATGGCATAGCCCATCATTTACTCAAATCTTATCTTACATCTCTCATCAAAATCATGTACTTTTGTTTGTTTTTTTCTCCATGTAAGTCCACATATTTTATATAAAGATTAGAAAAGTATCTAGGTAGGGTCTGGAATGGGGAGGGACATTTAAGTATAAAAACATAACTAGACTTCCGGTTAACATGATAATCGCAGCTATTTAATGCCTATCTTACATGAAATCCCTCTAAAATGACAGGAGAAAAAATATTTAAGGTATAAACCCATGTGAACAAAGAAAACTAGAGAGGAAACATCAGTGAGCGAGATATTTTAAACATTCTGAAACAAGGAAAGCAGATGTAATAAATTGACCTGGCAGGGCAAAGAAGTTTGCCATCTAAGGGAGCACCATCGCTCCAGAAATGGAGAGGCTCAGGACCCTCAGCCCAGAGACTGCTGGGAGGCAGGGGGAAGGGAGGCTACAATTAGTAGGCTGGTTGACATTTTACATAAACAGTGATTAGATCCAGAAGTTCCTCCCTCTTGCCTAAACAGCTGGGAAGTTACCATCTGCTTCCATCTCTCTGCCTTTAGGGAGACAAGAGGCTTATTTTCTGGTGAAAGACTTTGGATTCAATGGTATAAGGAAGAGCAAAGAACAGGAAACACAAAGATTAAACAGTGGATTAAGTGAATAACTGTATACTGCACAGCGGAATCCCTAGCTCCCTTCCCATACTCTGCTCTCAGGACCTGGAAGCAAAGTACATGTCTTCTGGCAGGAGGTTAGATCTTTATTTTCTGGGGAAACTGAAGAGCATCAAAGAAAAGATCTCCAGATATTGGCATCTGGGGTTTTTCCCAAAAAAAAAGGCCCCCACCTTATAAGTGAATTAAACAACACAAGAAGCTTTGCCCCCAAACACCCAACTTTCAATGAACTTTTAACTCCTTCACTCTTAAAAATGAATAAATCCATTGACCCATTGTCCTCGAGTTGATTCCGACTCAGACAGTGACCTTATGGGACAGAGTAGAACTGCCCGCTAGGGTTTCCAAGGAGCGGCTGGTAGCTTTGAACTGGTGACCTTTTGGTTAGCAGCCGAGCTCTTAACCACTGCACCACCAGGGCTCCAAAAATGAATGAATAGCTAAAAATCACCAGATATCTAACAAATGCTTCCAACATAAAAGACTGAGTCTAAAAACAAACAGAAAAATCTGAAAGAGATAAGTAGAGGAGAGAAAACTTTCAAAACTCCGCTACTTAATATCCCCAGAGAAAAAAGACAAAATATAACATCCATAAAATAAGAACAGAGAGCTTTAAAAAGAAAAATTAAAAACACGTTAGTCAAAATGCAAGACAACAGAAAACCTTCAAGATAAAAATTTAAAAATTGCCCCAGGAAGTATTAGAAAAAGACAGAGCAATGGAAAATAAAGGAGAAAAGATAAAGAACGAGATACAAGTCAATCAAGCAGGAGAAACACACAGCACCAGAGAGTGGTGTATAAACATTGACCTCTTTCTAAGTCCTCTATAAATTTTCCTCTTTCCCCCTCAATACTGAGTATTTACTATGTCAAAGACCCTGTGGGATGAACACAATTTTTTATAGGAAATAAGACATACAAGTCCGTGATGGACTACAATCTGAGTTGTTTATGTTAAAGGTCACAAAAGGATGTTAAAGAAGAGAAGTGTCATTTCTTGCCTGGGTGATTTACCAGAGCGGGGCCTTGAAGTCTGGTAAGCCTCCAAAGCCCAGAAGCCTTCAAAGAAGGAAGGGTATTCCCGGCAGAGGGAAGGGAGTGGGCAGCAGGGCAGGAGCACCAAAGAGCTCAGAGTCAAGAATTAATTTGTATTGGGTGAAGCACAAACGTGTTTAGTGGGACATATGCATAGTCAGGGAGGCTGTTATACTAATCAAGGACCACACAGCTTCTGTGATTTAGGAGCTGTGAACATAATGCTCTGAAGTTCAGACTGGAATAAGGAGTATTCACAGGTTGGATGTTACTGTGGAGTAGGGAAAAGAGCACTCAACCAGGAGTCAGCCAACTTGCTCCTACAAATACAAGATTACACAGAAGTTCACTTCATCACTCGGGACCCCAGCTGCCTCAAGGGCAAAACTGAGGTTGGAGATGAGCTACTGAAGTCTAAAATTTTGGTTAAGAAAGCTCTGCAATTGTTCAGGCATCAGATTATGAGAACTTAAACTGGCCTGGTGACAAGAAGGACACAACGGTAGGTGCAGACTAAAATCTTAGGACAAACACCTTAAACAGAACAATGGTAAGAAGCATGACCGCACCTGTGGATTAACTGTCCAGGAAACAGAAACACAATAAAATTCAGAAGACTACCTGCAGACGATCACAATGGACTTTGACTCCTCCAACCATTCCCTTCTTAAAGGCTGCCAGCATATCTAATATGGGGTTGAACCGGCTACCTCTAAAAAACACAGATAAACAAAATGGGTGTATTAATACTGGAATGAGAAATTAATAATCTAATATTGACTAAGTGCCCCGTACATATGCAAAGCACTCTCCCACACACTAAGAGGGATACGAAAAAGTTCAGGACTCTGCTCTCAGAGGGTTCACAGTATAAGTGGTGGGGAGCTATGTGCACTGGCTTCTTCCATTGACCTACCTTATATTGTCTTCCCGGATGAGAACAAGGAAGAGCGGACGTCCATGCATTTTCCAGTATTGTTTAATGAACTGTAGCGCATTCTATCAAAATATAAGAACGAGACAGGACGTAATGTCACAGTATCTGAGCAGATCGGGATGCTTAACCATTAGTGGTGAAGAGTTAAAATAAAAGAAAATAATAAAAAACCCCAAAATCTCATGTATCAAGACACATTCACAATTAAACTTTGGATAAAGTAGACCACTTAAGGACAGAAATGTTCTGATGGGCTGTTTGAGAACATGCAAGTTAAGCTGGAAACCATTTTGATTTCAAACTTTGTTCTTAAAAGTAATCACGCATGTTTTAAGGTTTTGTTCTGTTTTTGCGCCTAACAAATACAGTTCAAGAATGGTCCCAGGGGAAAAACAGTAAAAGGGTTATCATCTAGAAGATTAATTTTCACTCCACATTAAAGTGGATTCATATTAGAATAAGTAGAAGACACTGGACTGACTTCATACAGACCATCAGAAACGTGAAGGGAGTTCTTTCTTTGACTACATTTCTATCATCACCATGCTTACACAACACTTAACCACGCACCAGGCACTGTTGGGAGTGTTTTACATATATTAATTCATTTACTCCTCACAATTAGCCCTGTTAATTTCCAAGTTTACAGACTGGAAAACAGAGGCACAGAGAAGTTATACAGAAGTTCTGTGATCTTGTCCAAGATCACACAGTGGTGGAGCCTGGTTCCAGACTTCATGATTTTGATCATGATTTAAGCTTCTCTACTCTGCAAGTGGAAAAGGGAGTGGAAGGGATTTAGCTCACCGGGAGTTATGCATTAGCTGAGGTTTTACTGGACATTCTTCATAACCACATTTATTTTGCTATCTCAACTTCTGTTCAAATGGAGATAAACTATTACCGATGTATGAATATGATTCCCAAAACACTTCTCCCTCTGCTTTTACACATTTTATCTTCCTATTCTACTAGTGGGAAGCCATAACAAGTAAAGCCATACAACCTTACTTAAGACATAGTCCATCTATTATTCTAACGCTGCAAGCAATCTGACTCTCCAAAGCTATGCAGGTGTTGTTTTATGTTGGTATTTTACACTGTATAAACTCAGTATGGTAGACACCCAGGAGCATGCAATTTAATAACATGATAAGATTAGTGGATACAAAGTCATCCCATTTCAATAAAAAAGTGCTCAGAAGTTACCTTTATGTCATCTATCAGCAGTAAAACATCCTGAGACATGTAGAAATCACTTAAGTCAAAGATGATGGGGTAACAAACCACAGTCTTTCCCAGAATGCGATAAATCTGTAAGGCATAGTTTTTTAAAAGAAAATATAAAACATACCAAAGACAAAGGTGAAGTACCATAAGTCCTAATAAAAATCAGAATTGCTGTTTAATTCTGAATAAGCAAATAAAACAGCTTGTGAAATCCACATAATATTAAGAAATTTTAAACCTTCTTGATTGAATCAGTAGGCTAATGAATTTAAAGTAGTCCACCCCTAATACGACAGAAAAAGCCTGTGCCTGAGTAAATATTGTCAGTCAGGTATTTTAAAAATTTAGAAATAATATAGCAGCAAGATGCTTATTTATTCCTAGACGACTTCTGTGATAGGACGCAAAACAAATAATAAAATTTACTTGTAGAAAATAATAATTTAGACAATTAATCCAAGTACGCAATGAAATAGGAGAATGACTGCTTAGCGGGTCAAACATCACTTCAGTGTGAGGTATTATAATCTGAATGATGCTGCACCTTTGATGTACCGAGGCAGCCGATGGGCCTATCTGGTCTTCCGGAAAGACCCAGCTTTTCATTGACACCCAAGTGGAAGTAAGCCTGTAAGACACAAGTTTGTAAATCAGAGTTAGGCAAGAATCCATGCTTATCCTTTTTGCTCCTTTCTCCCCTTTTAATATTTCCCTAATAATTTCTGATCCTTCCAGAGAAAAACAGGCCAGGAAAACCTTACTAATTGGACTGGTAGGAAAACAAGCCAGATCTTGGGGCACTGCTGATTTGGTGAAAGCGATTCTGGAATTTGAAATTGTTCGTATGTTGTCAGAAACGTACAATTTACACGGAGCCCTGGTGGTGCAGAGGTTAAAAAAGGTGGGCAGTCGGAATCCACCAGGCACTCTTTGGAAACCCTGTGGGGCAGTTCTACTCTGTCCTGTAGGGTAGCTGTGAGTCAGAATTGACCCGACGGCAACGGGTTTGGTTTTTCTGTGTGACTCATAAAAGATCACACAAGAGACAAATGTTTCTATGTGATAAAAATCTGGCTATTTCAAAATTTAAAAAAACAGGCCCACACAGCTCTTTCTAGATTCCTACCTTTGAATATTTCCCATCAAAATAAAAACATCTTTATTGATTTTCCTGATTAGATGAACTTTATGAAAAATTGAAGACACATGTTAGAAGTGAATGGTCCTGCCTACAGTCACACCCCCTAGGCAACAGGGGCTCTCTGTGCTGTACGCTCCAGAGGTTACCTGTTGTGTGGTCCCTGCCAAACACCAAAAGTACAGACAGGGTTACGTACTTGGAGAAATACACAGATAAATAAATATTTACCCATATACACACATACATGTATATCTAAATAAATGGGTCATATACTATATAATCTGTTTGGTGTTCAATTTTTGTTTTTAAACTTAATATCGTGGTGTTCTAGTTTCAAGAAGAGGACAGACGTGGTTCAAGTGTTAGAATTCTTAAATTCTATGTGGGAGGCCTGGATTCAATTCCCGGCCATGCACCTCATAGGCTGCCTACCACTGACAGTGGGGATTGTGTGTTGCTATGATGCTGAAAATGTTTGAAAAGAGCAACCAGACTAGACAGATTAGGAAGAAAGGTCTGGCAATCTAGTTCCTAAAATAAGCCAGTGAAAATCCTATGGATCATGACTGTCCGATCTACAACCCATCGTGGGAACAGCACAGGACCAGGCAGCACTGCGTTCTGCTGTGCACAGGGTTACCATGAGTCAGGGGTTTATCTGACAGCAGTTAACAAACAGTTTCAAGATAGTAAACTGAGCTATTTTATTCTGTATTTTCAATGTGGAAATGATGGAAGAAATAAAAAACTGGAAAACATCTGTGTGAGTATCATAATCTGTGTAAGTAGCAATACACGTATAAGTATTATAAAACAAGGAAGAGTATCACAGGGGAACAGAACCTTCTAAGAATTTTCAGAAGGTAAAAGCGGATAGACACGAAATGAATTAGGAGTTAATCAGTGCCAGAGCTGAGCACTGTATTCAGTCAAGAAGTCCCCCCCTACTCTATTTAACATCTATCCCCTGATGAAGGGAGTTTCTAATTTTTTGTTATTTTAAAAATAATTCAGTAAATGTCTTTGGACAGTGTACTATTATTTCTGCAGAATAAGTTCCCACTCTTGCTAGATCAAAGGGAATGTATATTTTCTTTGAAACATAATAATGCCAGGCTGGTTGCTCTACAGAAATACTGTATAAATTTAGACTGGCACTAACAGTGCGTGAGCCTTTTGTGTCTCTCTCGGGTCAAAATGATATTTCATCTTAGTTTTAATTTATTTTCAAATATTTTGTTGTTAAGCATTTTCCCACATATTTAACAGTGATTTGTATGTTCTTCTATAATTTGTTTTTCATTCGTTCTCTTTTCTACGGGGTATTTGTCATTCTTTGTGATTTGTAAGAGATCTTGGTATATTTAGAATATTACTTTTGTCTGTCAAATACATAGCAAATATTTTACCCAGTTTGCTCCTCTTCAGTTTTTTTATGAAATGTGAGAATGACTGCACAGTGGGTCGAGTATCATCTCAGCTGTGGTATTTCAATCTGAACACTGCTCTACCAGGACATTTCACAGGCACCTTTGATGTGCCAGGTTGTTTATGCTATTTTCAGGAATACTTAAACTTGTCAATCTTTTCCTTAATCACTTTTTAGCATTGGTATCATTCTAATAATAGACTTCCTCTCTCAACAATGGTGAAAATATTCTATTTTTTTCTTCTAAAGTTTTCATATTTTAATTATTTTTAATATTTAAGTCTTCAATTTGTCTAGAGGTTTTTTTTTTTTTTTTTTTTTTTTTGCATTTGATGACAGGTAGAAATCTAATCTCAATTTTCCTAAATGGAAAATCAAACCAACTGTCTCTGTTCAATCAACTGACTGTGATTTGAGCTGATTTCTAATATCAACTCCATCATACACAAAATAACGTCATTCCTAGTGCTCTCTGTCCATCCTGCTACTACTACACACAGATTCTACTATGTCAGCTAGCTCTGTCTCTCTCTCTCCTTCTAAACCGGATAACAGCATCCCCTGAGTTGACACTGTGCCTAGCATATAGCTGGTGCTCAGGAAATACATAATAGATAAACAGGGGAGCAACTGAATACCCTCCAGAGCCAGATATGCTGTGACTATTGATTCTGGAAAAGTAGTGGTTTTAGACAGTCAAATGGCCAGAGAAAGTACTCTATAAACATTATATTGTGTGTGGTTGTTAGTTGTTGTCGAGCCAATTCTGACTAATGGCAATCCCACGTGTGTAGAGTAGAGCTGCTCCATAGGGTTTCCAAGCTATGATCTTTCATGAGGATTGCCAAGACTGTCTTCACAGGTGCCTCTCGGTGGGTTTGAACTGTTGACCTTTTGGCTGGTAGTCGAGTGCTTAACGATTTGCATCACTTGTGGACTCCTTTATATTGTTTAGCTGTAGTAAAACTATAGCATAAAACACAAGATGGAGTCCCCTTTCCTTCAAATATTTTCAGTTATTCAGAAATAAATGTATGTCTAAACTATTTCTTCCTTTAGAAGAGCAATTATATTCATCAACCACGCATAAGTTAAGGTAGGTTTCTTTTAAGTACTACTCTTTATGATGGTAAAAGGATTCTCCTTAACTTTAGGTACTACCAATCTGTGACAATTTAACAGACAAACCTATTGGAGATAATGCTACCCCCACATTGTACACATTCCCACCATTTAATGCACTGAAATACAAAGTGGTGATCAAACCACACAGAAGTACAGACAGACCCTTGGCTTCATTCTAGGTCCACACTGCCAAGCTAAATCCTGTTATTAAGAATTCAAATCCCTGAGAGATTCAAGATGGTGGCCTACTTTGATGCACCATGCCATCCCTCTACAGCAAAGGCCTGAGAAACAAAATGAAACAGATACAGATGACAACCCTGGAACCTGCGGCATCAAATGAAAGGATACAGAATTAGATTAAATACCAACTGGAAAAAGAAACCAAACAACAGCAGTGAGCAGGGAGAGATATAGAGTAGATGTGACTTGCCAGACAGCCCAGCAGAAAGGAGCAATTTTGAGACAAAGCCAGCAGCAACCCTGCGTGAGGAACACAGGAAGATAACATCATGGAATTCCCAAGGAGACAGAGACAGAGAAACTGGACTGAAGCAAGGTGAGCAGGATGAACTGGAGCTAAGGAGGAAAAGTACAGGAAGGAGGATGAGAACTTCAGGAATCCCAGGGTACACAGAGCAGGGAGGGAGTCAGGACACAGAGACAGGGCAACTCTCCAGCTGCAGCACCTGACCAGTAGGGCGGGTGGTGAGCACAGAGCAATACATAACCCATTCCCCTTTTTCTCTCTCTCCTGCCCTTCCTGGCTGCCGCCCCGCCCCTCCCCTGCCTGGGAGAGCACCAGCGTGACCCCGGCCACCTACCCTGCCACTCTCCAACCCAGAAGAATGTCTGCATGCCCCCTGGTTGATCACTCCCCGAGATACATGCTTTGCTCCCTGCTTGTTGCCTGCCCACCTAGTGAGAAACTGTGAATCCTGTACCACTGGACAAGCCCTCAGCCATCTCACATGTACAGGGAACGGTGATGAGGGCTTGCCCTGCTGTTACAGCCCCATCCAACTGGGAGCAGGAAGTGAATGCCCCTGTACTGCCAGACGAGCAATCACTGAAGAACACCCAACCTGCCCACACTGATAAATCAAAACACAACAAAAAATCATAAATAAATAAAACAATACCTTAGTGGTCTTAATAGACAATATCAAATCACAAAGAAACAAGATGGCTCAACCAAATGACCAAACTAAAGGGGTAGAAAATCTTCCTGAGGAAGACAGGGTAATGGAACTGCCTGATAAGGACTTCGAAAGGTTTATATATGGGTCCTCAAAGAGATCAAGAAAACACAAACAAAACCCTAGAAGAATTCAGGAAACAATACAAGAACAAAATGACAAATTAAACACGCAATTAGAAATTATACAAAAAAAGCAACTAGATATCCAGAAGATTAACAATAAAATATTAGAAACAGATAACTCAAAAGGACACAGAAATAGAATTGAAACAATGGAAGAAAGAATTAGCAAAATAGAGGACAAATCCCTTGACACCAATTTGAGGAAAAATAAGAAAAAAGAATGAAAAAAAATGAAGAAAGCCTAAGAGGTCTGTGGGACACTATGAAGAGGAATAATTTATGCATGATGGAAATCCCAGGACAGGAGGAGACGAAAATAAATAAATAAAAGCACAGAGAGAATTTTTGAAGACTTACTGGAAGAAAATTTCCCCAATATCATGAAAGATAAGATTTCCATCCAAGAAGCTCAACAAACCCCATACAGGAGAAGGCGAAAAGAAAGCCACCAAGACATATATAATAAAATTTCCCAAGTCCAAACATAAAGAAAAAATTACGACAATAGCTCGGGAAAAATGAAATATCACCAACAAAGGGAGTCCAATAAGACTAAGCTATATTTCTTGGCAGAGACTATGCAGGCAAGAAGGCAAGGGGCTGACATAT